TATGTTATCTTTTAAAAAAAGTTACAATAAGCAATTACTATAGCTACTGATCATAGTTAGTGCCTTCCTCAGCCCACGCATTAAGGCTTTTGAAGTTAAATTACACCACATTTTCCCCTTCATCTTGAAGTAATAATATTTTTTTAAAAATTCAATCAAATCTCTGTTTAACTGTTCTCCTGACTGATCTGTTAAGCTTATAATCCTGCAGCCTCCATCCTACTCCAGGGGATTGTTCCTGACCTTTTATCACAGCCTGAAACCTGTAACTGTTATTTAAGTGTACACCACAATAAGAAAAAAATCCTTGAATCTTTACAATATTAAAGAGACAATCATATTGCAAATAAAACATTCTGCCTGTTACTGAGGATTAGGAGTACCCAAAATGAATACTTGTCAATAATTTGCCTTCAGCCAGCCATTGAAATATTGTAGGCAGAATACTATATAGCTTCCATTTATGTTTTCCAAGAACGACATAGAGAAAATAAAAATCAATGTACAGCCTGAGAAATTCACGAACAAAAAGGAAGCAAAAGATTTTCAAAGGCTGTTAAAAAAAAAAAAAAGAAAAATCAATGAGAAATACAAGGCAGAAGTACTGCCTACTTATTAGGACATTTAAACTACTGCTTTTGCAATCTTCCTCAGATATTCAGAGATCACATTACAATGGCTTCAGAGAGAAAGAAAGAGAAAAGTAACCACATACTGCCTCACGAAACTTGCCAGTCATCTCTGGAATGACTTGTTATTCTATGTCATTTTCAGTTAAAATACATACATTTATATACACACACACACATATATACATATGCATATACACACACCACACACACACATATACTTGGAATTAATTGTCCTAATGCTCAGAATTATTGAGCATCTATTATTCTCACTCTTTAGCCTAGGAATGCTAAAAATTAAAAAAAAACGATAAAAATAAAAAAAACCCAACCCAAACACACTTTAAAACTCCTAATTTCTAGCCCTCAAATAATGAAGAACTGTATTCCCACCACAGCCTTTGTCCATTAAATAATAAAATGAATGTGAACCATTCTAGCGTGTTCAAAGAAAGGTACATTTAGCCTCACCTTAGTTCCAATGGCTCATTTATATTGTAAATGTTCAGTGAAAGCCTAAACTTTTCTTAATTCAACCCCAGAATTCCAATCTTATGTAGAATTATACAGTGCAAAGCATTTAAATGGCTTTGGATAATAAAAGTTAACCTATTCCACTAGCAAGTAGCAGCAGTCAGAAGGTTCTGATTTTGAAAAAAATCAAAAGATGCAGAAGTTATTATTTAGATTTGAAAAAGCTCTGACAGAACTAAAGACCATTATAGAAGTATAGTTGAAAACAAAATGTTAGTCAGTAAATACTCAGACTCCCTTTACATGTGAGATCAATCAAGGATCAACACAGCCAGTGTGACCAATGTTCTGAAATAAGTAATCAAGATTTCACTGATTCCTGGTATTTCTTGTCCATTCCTGTGTAGCCAAATCCCAATAGCAAGGTTTGAGGAATGCTGGTGTCAATTCTCCTACACAAATGCAATGTTCACTATTTACAGTACTAGAAATCCTATGCATTTCCCCTCTGTATTATCACTAATTTTTCACCCAAATATTTGTGTTATAGCTCACACAATCAGCTGTTCACGGTGACCTAAAGTGTGGACTTTTTCCTGAGTAATAACATTTATATACACTACTTTGCCTGAATGTTCTAACCTCTGCATAAAAATTCTTTTAAAAAATATTACACTAGAAACGCTGGCTGATTGAGTAAGACTATTTCAGAAACATTATATTTCAGCATTTTTAAACTCATAAATATTTTCTATGATACTCTCTGAAGAATCCTTCATGAAATACTCTCTGCTCCCCCACTGCACAGTTTGGAATACTATTACGAGGTACCTATCTCAGGGACAGGATTCTTACTGCTTATCACAATGACACTTCTATTTACAGACTAAGACTGACAAATAGGTTCTGTCCATACGTTTGTTTATTGGGTCATTTTTCTGTGTGGAAACAGATTTGATGTAAAATGGCTCTGAAGTATAGCAACAGAGAAACTTAGTGTCTCTGCAATACAAAGAGGAAAGAAAGTGCAGCATTCAGAAAGTGGAAAAAAAAAAAAGTAGATGTGGGAAGTCACTCCAATTTTTATGCTATTCTTTTAAACTCTTTTTAGGATACTTTTTGTCACGGTATTCCCCTCTGAATCTTCTTAATTACATATGCTTGAGTCCCAACCACTGGATTTGTTTCATTTCCAGAGTAGCAAAGTACAATAAATATTTATAAAAAAGGACAAGAGTAGTGCTTGAAAACCAGAATCAAGTAGAGAGGACTGACACTAAAAAAGCATCAAACAGTTATTCCAGGACTGATATGGTGGTGAAGAGACACAGGACTGGGAAAGTCTTAAGAAGAGAAGAATCATAAATTATCAAATAAGGCAGCAGAAATTTTTACAGGAGAGCTGTCGACTTCTCTTTTCCTATCAGCTTTCAAACAGTTGAAATGAGTCCCAAAGGCTCTGCTTCTGAATTCATGCCCACTAGAGAAAAAAAAAAAAAAAAAAAAAAATCCACTCACAAGAAATAGGCATTTCAAACCCATCCCCCAGCTCTTACTGGCCATTCTAAAATAACTTATATGCAGAAGTTTTGCATTTCCATCTTCATAAGACAGATGATTTGAGCTAAAATCTCAAGAGAGCTCCAAAGTTTTCTCTGAATTATTACATAAATCTCAAAAAATGTTGCCAACTTTGAGAACAAATGCATAAACATTATCATTTCCTGCAGAATTTCTTGTATAGAAAAAACTAAAGTACTGTAATACTCTAAAGCCCTGGATAAATTTGTTTTCAGACTAAAAAAATTTGAGAATAAGTAGCAGCAAGGAAATACATATTCTCTGCATCTTACCCAACCAGAACAACACCTTTTGTTCACTCTCATTCTTTAGTAAAATGATGGCTAACACAAAGCTTAGCTCATTCACTTGTTTCCTTTGGATCACTTACATTCCTAGGAATTTACTAGTAAAATAGGATAATGGTCATAGAGTAGTTCGGAAGTGGCAACAGTAACAGTTCTTCTTTTGGCAACGTGTAAAGTGCAGATGATATCAAAGATGTGACGGTAACTTAAGCAGAGGCTTCCACTACAAATCTCCTGCAGCGCATGTGACACTCTCAGTCAAAGTGATACGGGCAACCCTGGGTATCTGGTGCTTTTATTCTGCATGTAGTCTGTTTAACTACATTATATGCAAGCACATCCCTCAGGTGAAAGTTTGCACTCCAGAATTATTTGTATGTGTCCCAGGCATAAGTTACTTCTAACTAAGTTGATTCACAAGTCTCCAGAGAATAAAATATCAGAAACGCATAAATTATTTCCATCTCATTAACTTTTCAGTGACAGAATTATTATAGTAAGTTTCCCCATGTGCTCCTTTGAGCTCTTTTTAGCATTACTACTTTCAATGACTAAAACACAAGTGATTTTAGGAGTATGATAGCCTATTGCCACTCATAAATGGTGCTCAGAGATTTGAAAGCACAGACAAGGTACATCAAGGTTCCGGCAGACCCCATCAACCTACCTGCAAGGATATCACCATTTCTGGTAGTATCAAGCATTTTCTCAAACTAGAGATTGGAATGCGCACAGCCCACAAGAGCATTTACTGTCAGTATATCAACATATAACGTTTAGACATTTAAGTGGCATCTTCATTTTGGTGTATCTGTTTTAATTAACTTTACTTGTCACGTAGGGTAAATAAAACATTATGGAGTCAGCCAGACTAATCAACAACAAACCATTCTTCAAATAGCCCCACGAAACGAGCAAGAATAAAGCCTGAAGAGTGTTACATTTACTTCTGCAGCTCTGAGGGCGTTTTTAAGAACACTAGGTCAGGTAAACCGAGACACTGAGAAAATGTGCAATTTCTTTCCCACTGAGCTGTCAAGGTATTTCATGCTGTGAATAGTTAACATCCTTCTTTGACAACCAGGCAAATATTTCTATTTTCTGCCATTCTAGTCACATGAAGCATCTCAGCGTTGCCTCAGTTGATTTAGTGCCAATTCAAGTCAGACTTTAGATGTCTAAGCTAGTAACTGGACCAAATATTCTTGATGAAGCCTTGTCACAAACTCAGAGTGCTGCGTAATAAGTGTCCAAATAGTTAGATAGTAAAAAAGGTTGTAAAGCTGAAAGATGGTAGACAGGTAGAACACACATTCAATCAACAGCCAGAACAGAGATTTAAGTAATGCATACAGGTCAAACGTGCTGCTGCTCCAATTTATTAACACTGCTTTCAAAAAATAAAATTGTTTCTAACTACATAACTCTTTGTATTCAATTCTTTATTTCCTGTAATTGGAAAATGTATTTATTTAGAGCTGCATTAACTAATAACCAAGTCTATCCAGGCTGAACAGAAACAAGATTTAAAAAAAAAAAAAAATCCTATTCAAGTGGCAATTGCACAAAACATTCATTGTTCTTAAATCTTTTAAAGTATAAATTTCCGATTATACTGCACTTGCAGACCATGTCCAGAAGTTTCCACTACTATGATCACGCAAGTGTAAGATACAGAACAAAGGGAAACATATTTTTTTCAGTGGGAACAGACCCAGCCGAACCTGCTCAGAAATCACTAGATTACTGCTTAAGAATAAGTAGTGAGGAATAATGGTACAGTGTGTGAATTCATACTAATACAAAAAGTAACAAAATAAACTATTTATAATAGGGGCTTTCCGCCAAGATGTGAGTGTAAGGCACTTTTGAGATTGGATTCCATCCTGTGGACCATGCTGCCATTACACACTGTTCCCTTACACTGGGTTTCTATTTCAGACAGGATTTGGCTGTTTTAACTCCCATACTTAAAATCTACACAAATTTAAAGTGTCCATTAGCTGAATATGCCTAGAACAGTACTTACCAATACTGGGATAGCCAGGTGTTGATGGATCTCCTCCACTGTTCAAGGAAACCATAAAGGCTTTATCATCAAGTACTGCAGTCTTTGGTAAATCACAAGGATCAATGTAAAGAAGAACACCGCCAAACCCTGCGTCTTCTAACAGAGAAAGCTGAGGGAACAAAAAGGCATAGATGACTACTAACAAAAACTATAACAAAATCTATTATTAATTTTAATTACCGTTGAGATAGGGGCTTAATCATAGATCAGGCTCTAATTATACTATGCACTATATAAACAGAAGAAAGACAGGTGCAGTCCCAAACTGCTTGTAATCTAAATACAGCAGCTATCATTTGAAAAGAGTAAATTAAAAACCAAAGTTGATTCAAGTTCATGTTTCCCAATTCATCTTAAAAGCTATTTTCAAAGGCTAATGACAACAAAAATTTTTATTTAAAAAAAAAAAAAGAAGATACGCAGTATGTTGAGGAAACAGGGCTAATATTCACTAAAGTTGCAAGTGAGATCTGTAACTGTTACATCTTCACCTCTTTTATTGTAGTATAGTCTTCAAACAAATTTGCTGTGTCAGAGGTTATAGTCAGATGAGGTATAGGCCATGATTCAATGAAGTACAGAAAGAAATATCTAAGTGCAGTCATATTTATACTCATTAGACACTTGCTAGACTTATCGCTCTTTAAAAGATCTCCTCATATGATATTAGTATCACCTTGTTAATGTCTTGGTTGTGAAACTAATCTCCTTAGAGTATCTTAAGCAGCTCTTCCGCATTTTTCATGTCATTAACCATATGATGCTCCTGGTTAGTTTGCTTCTTCAAGGCCATGCATAAATATATGTAGCACATAATAAAGGTTTGCATACACTGCATCAATCTTGCATATATGATTTCTGATCACAATTACTCTTCACTTAAGAGAGAAAACACGAGAGTTCCTAGATCATTTAAAAAAAAAAATAGTAATCTAGCTTACTCAGTCTTTGGAGCTTGCCTCCTGTCAAGCAGGTTTTTATTAGAACATCTCAGCTTGAGCTGGTACTGGCAATTAGCCTTTCCAAAAATCTATAGATCTGGGGCAGCATATCGGGCAGGCTTCCCCAAAGTCAAGGACAAAAGCATCCAAGCACCAAAGTTTAGAGCAGCCTACAGAGTCATTTTGACTGAGAAACCCCAGACTTTCCCTTTTATAGATGATTTAAAAAAAAAAAGGGGATTTTATTCTGTATCAGATGAAATCAAATTATAATGTGGCAAATGCTCCCATGAAATGAAATGACCTTTCTCGTTAATGCTCTGCATATTTGGAATCGACTTAAGACTGCAGCAGTGACACTGAAGTACATTAATTCTTCAGACAGAAGTAATTTTGGCTTTTAAAGATTATGTTACTATTCACTACACTCTACTGATGACTTTCCAAATGGCTATTAAGAGGTTTGAGGAATGACTAAAAATATGTTTAAATGTAATAGTATGTTTCTGGACTGCACAAGTCAGATTTTGTAGGGACCTGAGAACTTGGTACTATATTACCACTTCTCAGTTCAATCGTCTATCTGCTTCTTTTAGTCCCTTGTTCGGATATCTTTTCAATTTATCCGACAGCTGCTGGTTTTAAGGAATGTTTATGCATAGTTTTTTTGGCTTTATAATTATGTAAATTACATGAATATATGGCATTCAGTTTAAGCCGCAAAAGCATTTCGTGTTTAGTTCTGCTTTTCTTGAAAGTTAAGATGACAGAAAAAAGGTATAAATATAACGATGCCCAGTATTTGCCATTTCTGTATGTATGCATAGGTAATATTGTGATTAGCCAAGATCTTCACATTACAGTCTGAATTCAGATAAACAAATGCAAGTGAACTAATTTTTCCACAAAATCACTTGTATAATCCTACATATCTTATTTATACGAGCAACCCCTAAATGAAAAAGTATAGTTTCTTCGAGAGAACTCTATTTGGATGAACACAGGTGTGCACAGTGAGATCATAATTGAGTAGCACATGTTTTTTAAGAGGTTAAAAATGGATGAGAGTCCTTATACTTCATGCAGAAATAAAAATTTCCAAAATGGAAGGTTAGTTTATACTGCTTAGTAATATATACTGCTCCCACTTTTCTGTTCATATGCAGATGTTTAGCCAGGGATTTGATGGTACAATAAAAGGAGTGGGAACCCTGTAAGAGGAGGAAGAAACATCAGAGCTAAGTGATGCAACAGCCAGGGTTAACAATAACAATTGCCTTTTCTTTTCCAGCATCCATATCCAATGTCTTGTTCTTCATCTCTGATTTTATTTAATAGTACAGCAGGTAAGAAACACATATGCAGTCATTTTTTCAAAAGAGGATTTTTAAAACTTTGGATTTAACGCAAATCACTTAAATTCCTCTGTTTCACAGAGGGAAAATAACTACATAGCTCTAATCCACCAAGTGCAGCAACCACTGCTGCCATGGCTACAATCTCTAGTGAAAAGTTGTGTTGTACATGCAAAATTATAAAATAGCTTTCAAGTTTCAGCTGTAATTGCTGCTTTTTAACTTTCGGACGTTGACATAACTATGCCAACTATGCCCACAATAAACAATTACTCTTGTTTCCATCTTCATCTTAAATAAAGTCAGTATCTTAATAGCCACAAAGAGCCCCAGCACAAAATATCTGAGGAGGGTACTGCATTTTTTTTTTTAACCTGACTAAAGACGTAATATAAAATCCTCTTCCTTCAGAAAAACTGATACATATCCATTCCAATCAATGCATTACTTCAGTTCTTCAACCTAACTAACTGCAGAATCTGCCCCTCCTGCTTTTGGACGTATGCCTTCTCCTAAAGCCCCAACAACTGGGAAGAAAACGGAGACATCAGAACCTTTGCCAAGAAGCAAGATACTGGTGCCCTCCGTTAACTTTTCCAGTGCGTATGGCTTTTTAATAGTCCTTTACTATTATAGAATTCTCAGTTTTTATACCAGCCTCTAGAGTCACTTAAAAAAAGAGTAACAATCTCCATCCAATATATTAAACCACACCATAAACATTCTGGACTCATTTTATTCCAATATGAAACTCTTACTGCTTTATCAAAAGCTCTGTAATGTTAGCTATTTTGTACTAATTTTCAGGTGTATGTACAAGGCAAGACTGAAAGTACCTCTTCATTTAGTCTCATTACTTCCAAAACAGTCCACACTAAGCCAAGTGAAGGTATTCTTACAGTATCTGCAAAAGAACTTAGTGCAAAACAACAGTTTTAGACACAACTTCCAGCTTATTTTCTCAGGTACAGATATAAGTTATGCATGACTACAGATCTCTGGCAAAATTAAACACTGTCCTCTGAATGATTCCCGATTTACTTTTCCAATGGCAAATCACTACCAGTTCAGAATATCAAAAGCTTTAGATACAATAAGAAGGTGCTCTAACAACACAGCCAGGTTTATGGGAAGGAGAGAGATAGCTGACATGGAACAGTAAACAAAACCACTTCTGTACATGAACAGGTTGAAACGGTATAAAGAACTTGGTTTTGCCATAACGGAGGAAAACTCAAACTTACTTTCAATTTTAATCACATTATCTCTGAATGCTGCTGAAGAAACAGTTATCTTTTCGTACACGGCACACTTGGTATGTACATAACCAAGACTAGGTTTGCACTGTACATTTGAGCCAAGACTTACTGCTGGGCTTTGGCCAAAAACCTACAGGCAGATCGCTGTTGGGACAAAAATGAGTCAGTTTAGCATGACTCTTAGCTGGAGAGGAAGCAACAAGAAGCAGGGGGTCACCCCCCTGTTTGTTCTCTCTTACCTGAGGCCTGCGTTTACCCGAGTGAGTGCTTCATCAGCTATTTAAGTAATCTGAACATGGGAACAAACTTACCAAGGAGAAGCAAATATAGCCTCTCAATATGAAACTCTGGTAAAACGTTTAAGAGCTCTCCTTAAATAAATGGTTGGACAGGGCAGCAAAGCAGCAGATATTGGCCTGAAGCCATATTTGTCATCTTTCAGCTGAGGGCAGTTTCCCCCCAAAGATCTTTTCCCCTTGTCTCCTCCCAGTTAAGACTATCCTGCCAAGAACCAAAAAGTGCAAGAGTAATCAGGTAATCAGGCTTCATTCTTGTCCAGAGAGTACACTGGATTGGCTGCCCGCTAACCAGCGACCATTAGAAAATTTAAAAACATGACTTATTGAGATATATAGCTATTTGAAAACATGTGTTCCCACATTCCAGTTGAAATTGAAGCCTGACTGTATCGGTACAGTTCTGCTGTCGTTCCTGGACAGACACATTTGGGGATTGAGTTCCAGCTGGCATATCCAGGGCACAGAGCAGAAGAACACATCAGGCTTTGGTCTCATTTGCAATACAGCAACTAAGAGCGTAGAAATAGCCAGAAAAGGGCTTCCTAAACCATTTTCCCAATGCGTCCCAACACCTTATCTCCTGTCATCCAGCAAGCCCCTAGTGGCTTAAAGATAGGGTGTGTACTCCAGCAGGTTAGGATACCAGTAGATTAGGACACCAGGTGCGGCCAAAGCAGCAGGGTAGATATAGCGTGAATTAAACCAGCATGGCACCTTTTCAGTTTCTTTAGTTGATTGTCAATAATAGTTCTGTCTACAAATAATGTATGAATTGGTAACGTGGTGATGCAACACAGCCTACTCCTAAACAGTGTTGGTTAACCATATTTATGAATACGTCAGAGAAAAGATGATCCCGATAACTATGGATCAACTATTTTCAACAGCTGCTAATTGTTCACAATTATGCCCATTCTAACTTGCAAATGATGCCAAAATACACTCAAACTTTCTGAGAACCTGTAGACAGTTCTCCATCTTTGTGGAACACCACTGCAATCAGTCACAGTGTTATATTAACAGACAGCTACAGTATCAGCACTTTGGTTTGTCCTCTTCCCCGTCTCCTGGTGAAGGACATCTTTTCCCTCCCCCAAATTGTAATGACTATACTTTGTAAGGTAGATTATCAGCCCCATTACTGATTAAATATTTCTTCTGTAAGACTTTACTCTGCTTTCTACACTTAGCCATTTGTGTGTCTTGTTCCACAGTAACAACTGAACTCCTGGATTGGTTTTATACAGACTTAGCA